TCCAGGGACAGGGGTTGTGGCTCACCGTGTAGACCAGGCTGGCCGTGAACTCAGAGATCTGCCTACCCCTGCTCCCTGAGCACCCGGATTAAAAGAAGGGGCCACCACAGCTTGATGGTTCCATGGTAGAAAGCTTGTCCAGCACCAGTGAGGCCCTGGGTTCCCTTCCTTGCAGCAAAATATCACTGGGAAAATGCAAATTAAAGCCATGATGCAAACTTATTAGAACTGGTAACATTAATAAAGTCATAAAAGAAAGTGACATAGAACAAAGTGGAGTCGAGGCTGGAGCTGGTAGGATTGCGGGAAGTCGGGGAAATGGTCTGATCCTCTGTGGAAGACATGTGTGGTATTTTTTTCAAATGTTCAGCACACCACATGATCCAATAACTGCACTTCTTCATGTTTAGCCAAGGAAAATGAAAGCATATGTTCATACAAAAACCTGGACATGAAGGATTATAGCAGCTTTATTCATAATTGCCCCAAATTGGAAACAGCCCAAATTCCAAATGCTGCCTGGCTGTTGAAAGGATAAGCTCGGCGATCCATCTATGCATCTTCGCATGCCACTTGGCGGTAGGAAGGAACTGCTCATGTGCGCACCAAGGATGAACTTCTCATTTGCATTATGCTAAGTGAAAGAAGCCAGACTCCTCTTCCAGATGATTCCATTACGGCCTCTAGAAAAGGAGAATGCTCCAGCAACAGAAAGCAAATAATCAATCCCAGGGACCACTGGGGGTCCAAGGAGGGGCTGACCGTCAACGGACATGGGAACACTTTTAATGATAACTGTTCTGTGTCTTGATCAAGACAATGGTCACATGACCATATGTATATATGTCACTCTTCACAGATGTGCATACAGTAAAGAACAAGCTCGTTGCATGTAAATTACATTGTGTAGGTTTTTTTTTGTTGTTGTTGTTTTTTTAAAATGCAGACAATGGTCTTCAGAGTCGGGAGAACTTGACGTGAGTTTTACCGTTTGCCCTCAATTCAACAAGGATTGAGTGCAGCTGTGTGTCATTTACCCTGTTAAGCATTTTGGAGATTGTAATAGAAGTTTAAGACGATCTCCAGTTGTTCCTAACAACGAGAACACCTTTTGCAGTAGGGACTTTATCTGGCAGATTACAGTTGGTGGTCGCAAGTCTTCCCACGAGGAAGGATTCCACATCTTTCCCAGGTCGAGCAGTTTTGTGTGTTTTAGATTATGGCTGGGCTCTAACAGAGAGGGAGAGATGAAGAAACCAGCCTATGGAAAATAACGTTGATTAGAATGGAGATGGGGGAATGGAGGCTTTTATCCCTGGCGGGCAGATTCAACACATACTCTAGGACAAACTGGGGGATAATGAGAAGCAAGAACTCAGTTTTCATATGATTTTACAGAGTTTTGCTACTTGTAAAAGAAGGGCGGTGAGTATTTTAAATCTTAGAGCAAGGCCTTATAAACTGTTTCTGTGTCTTGACAGTGGAGATAAAAAAGAAAAAGGATAAATTGATAACTGATAAATTTTGAGACATTAGGAAGGCCTGGGGTGTTTGCCTTTGCTACAGCCAGTCCAGCTAACCACCAGGCTCAGTTGGAGGGTCACCATATTCGGGTGGGAAAATGGAAAGAGGCTGTAAATATGACTCAACAGTAGAGTGAGCCTAGCATGTACGAGGCTGAGTTCCATTCCCAGAACTGCAAAAACAAGCCCCCAACCAAAACTGTAAGCCACGAGATAGGGAAAAACTTAAAACAGTGATTTCTGAGTTACTACCTTTGATGGGTTTAACAATAACAATGAGGGAAATCCCAGGGACACCAAAGCAGGAAGGGATGGCCTGTTTTATTTGGGGCTGCATGTGCAAATGTACACCCAGTTTGAGAGAGTCCCCCCCCCCCCGCGCCCCAAATTCCCTGGGGCTGCCTTTCCTATTCTTGAACAGGTCAAGTACTCCTGCTGGTGACCTAGCTGTGCCCTCAACATGAAATGCCCTTCCCAGCAGAGCTGTGTGGTATGCTCCCATACCTCCCATTTCTTTATGTAAGTCCCACCTTCTAAATGAGATCTCTCCAAGTACCCTAAAGAAAAAAAAAAAGCCTGTGATCAGCCCTCTCCAGCTTGGTATCTGTCTCCACTTTGCTTTCCCATCATGCTTATCTTCTTGCTTCAAAGCATTCTTGACTGGTTACAGGGCCAGCTGCTCACTGTCACCTCCTTGCTAGGATGTAGTGTCAGGGACCACTGGCTAGTTTGTTCATAGACAAATAGTAGTCGCTCCATAAATATTCAGGAATACAATAATGATCGTGACTATTAGCATTTACAGAGCAGATGCCTGGCCCACACACTTCACAATGCTAAACAATTACCGTTCCCTGATGAGGTAAGATCTGTTCCTGTTCCCATGTTACAGAGGAGGAAACAGGGCCACAGGAAGGTTGAGGGTCTGAACCAGGGTTGCCTATAAAACCAGAAAGAGTGGCGCCAGTGTCCAGACACCAACACACGTCTAAACTTGGAAATACGGATCCCAGGAAGCATGAACACGCACACCACTGGGGGTTGGCTGGCAGCTGGAAGTCCAGAAAGTTCTAAGTTGGCAGGTCTGAGTCCTGGGATAGATTGTGACAAGCCATTTCAAGGAGTCCATTCTCCATGAAAAACCTCGCAAGGGAAAACAGAGGACTTTTGCACAGAAATACAAATGGAATTAAATTCAAGGTTTTCATTTCTCAATTAGATTCAGATTAAATTCACATTTTTTTTTTAAAAAAAAGTAAATGCAGGCTGAACTGCCTTTATTCCCCATTTGGGGTAAAATATACCTAAAATAAAATCCACCTAATGATCGCAAAATACTAAAATAGCTTTGTGTAAGTAATTAATTTGGTTTCTGTTTTACCCTGCAGACAGGACAATTTATTATTATTGCTAATGAGTCTCTAAGAATTCATTGTTGAGACAGGATTAACAACACCAAAATAGTTTGAAGAAAATCTTCATTTGAATCATGTTTCCCTAACTCTGTCAGCAGCTTCGGATTATAAAAATAGTCTCAATCCCTTTAGGCAGGACTGACTCTTCCGGTGTCTGAGGAGGGCAGGGTGACCTTTCACTGGCTTTTGATGACCGCCCTCTTGTGGTGGATCGTGAGGATGCAGATCTAGCTCCAGTGTTCTTTGTGTGGATCCCAGGCCCACGTGGTCTAGAGCATTCTGGGATGTCCCTGGTGAAGCCCCAGCTTCCTTTTCCTTCTCTAGGAGTCTGTAATGTTCTGTAAACAAAGGACAAATGCATTGCTGTTGTTCTATATTGTATTTTTTGAGTGTTTATTTTTGTTCCAACTGCTGTTACTGTGGGCAATTTTAGTCGTATAATTATTTTTCTCTTCCTGTTTTACAGAGGGTTATAAGTAACTGTGAGTAGAAGAAAACCAAATAGGCTAAAAAAGATTTCTTTTCATTCACGCTTCTAATTGCACTAATTCTCCAAATGGCTGCATTTTGTTGTTGTTGTTAAAAATACAAGGCAAACCGGGCGGTGGTGGCACACGCCTTTAATCCCAGCACTTGGGAGGCAGAGGCAGGTGGATCTCTGTGAGTTTGAGGCCAGCCTGGTCTACAAGAGCTAGTTCCAGGACAGGCTCCAAAGTTATAGTGAAACCCTGTCTCGAGAATGATGTAGGAGGTCCTTCTATTATATGTTGCTTTTATTGGTTGAATAAAGAGATTGCCTTTTAGTAGGGCAGAACTTAGATAGGTGGGGTAGACAGAACTAAATGTTGGGAGGAAGAGCAGAGTCAGGCAGCCACAATCAAATGGCGATACACATTAATGAAGATGGATTAAACTAATATGTGAGAGTTAGCCAATAAGGGGCTGGAGATAATGGGCCAGGCAGTATTTAAATGAATACAGTTTCTATATGATTATTTCGGGTATAAGCTAGCCGGGTGGCCCAAACAAAGGGCCCCCGCTCTCATACAACACAAGAAAAACAAAAAACAACAAGCAAACAACCCCCACCCTAACAAAACAACATAGAAAGCAAAACCAAACAGAACCCAGGAGGTTGAATGTGGTTAGCTTATGCCTATACTTAATCTTCAGGAGGATCCCAAATTCAGGGCTACATAACAAACAAACAAATGAACAAATGTATAAACAAACAAAGCGACAGAGGAACATACATATCTAAGCCCAGGAAATACCAAGTTTGCCACTGAGGGTTCTCTCCTTTAGTGTCTTAAGTTAGTGATTCTCAACCTGTGGTCAAGACCCCCTCAGGATCATATATCGAATACGTGCATTGCAGTAGCAAAATTACCATTATGAAATAACAACAAAAATAATTTTATGGTTGGGAGTCACCACAACATGAGGAAGCATATTAAAGGTCTGCTTCGACCCCGGAGGAAAGTCGAGAACCTTAAGGTCAAGGAGAAAACGGTATGGTTTTGGGCTGATGGGAGACGCTGACATTCCTATCAGCTCTTCTACAGGGTCTCTTGCGCATAAATATGGTGTCAAGAGTCTCTCAGAAATGTAAGCAAGCCGTTCTGGCTACAGCTGAGCTTATTTAAATGGCTACCATTTATACTTTACTTCATCAAGGGACAGTGCCTTTAATTATATCCAAACTGTTTTTATAACTTGAAAGCTCCATACCTCCATATAATATAGTCAATAATATCCACTCCCACTCCTCCGCCTAATCCGCATCTACTTCCCACCCCCCCACCTAATTTCATATCCTCTTTTTTTTTTTTTTTTTTTTTTCTAACCCACTGAGTCTGATTGATGAGGGACCATCCACAGGAGCCTTGCTGTCCTGCTAGGGGCCGTACCCAAGCAGCCCTCAACTATCAAAAACCCTTCAGCTAGAGGTGGGATCTCCGGAGCCCCTCCCTACGTCACGACGGAGCATCAGCTGACTCAGTCTTGGGCAAGCACAGCTGCTCCGAGTTCAGAAGAGCAGCGGTTCTTCCGTGTCCAGGAGCCACCCTGCCCCTGCACCCGGGCTGGCTGATTCAACCTTCATTGCCCCTTCTTCCATCCTGCTCCCTGAAGCCTTGTGGAGAAGGATGTGGCCCAGCCGTCCATTTATGGTTATGCACAAAGGGACAATGTCTTAAGTGTACTCTGTGACACATTGAAAGGGTCTTGGATCTCTACGATCAGAACGGCTGCCGTGGTTTGAAAGGGAACGGCTCCCACGGGCTCATTGGTTTAAATGCTTGGTCTCTAGGGAGAGGCGCTGTTTGAAAGGACGTGGAGGTGTGATCCTGTTGGAGGAAGTGTGTCACTAGGGGAGGGCTTTGAGGTTTCCGAAGCCCATGCTAAAGCCCAGAGTCTCTCTCGCGGCCAGTGGATCAGAATGTAGCTCTCAGCTACTTCTCCGGCACCATTTCTGCCTGTCTGCCTCCCACCATGGTAATGGACTAAGCCTCCGAGACTGTCAGCAAGCCTCAGGTAAAAGCTTTCTTTTACAAGAGCTGCCTTGGTCAGGGCATCTCTTCACAGCAACAGAGCAATGACTAACACAGTCGTCTGACTCTGGGCGCCTCGTTTCACCTCTCATTGCAAACAGATGGCACCCCCACCTACCTGAGTCAGTGACTCAGAAGAGGTCATAGTGGAAGAGTCTGGTCCGCAGCGTTTCATTTAAGCTCCGCTTTACCACCCACTCCTCGTCCATCTTCCTAACGTGCCTAGGAAGATAAGCCGCTCTGAAACTCCAGGCGGGTGAGACAGGACGCACTGAAAATCATTTGCTCTGTGTACCAGATTTTCCCATCATGCTGCCAGCGTGTCTGAGTGGTTGGAGGCTCTCTGAATAAGAGCACATGGATTTAGAATTGTGATATTGTCCAGGTTAGGTGAAGTCCTTAAAGATGTCGTTATTTCATAGCTTCTAGCAATGTCTGCCTGAGAGTCTGTCTTGTTTGCTGATGTCTTAGGGACATCAGCTGTCCTTGGCTGATATCAGTGGCCCGATTCGGGCTTGTAATTCCCAGTTTGCCATTCTGGAAACCAAAGTTCCGGAAACAAAAGGTTGCTTTTGTAATTCTCCTGGCAGCAAACCCTGATCTGTGTCCACGAGGAACTATCTGTAATCGTTCTTTTACTTAGGTTCTTTTCCCAGAAGTACTACTGTGTTTGAGTCCAGAGTGCTATGGCTAGTCGCATTCTGGCTGTCACGTGTGTGCTGCGCCAACTTTTAAGTAGGTGAGTCCACCTTATTCACATTTGGGACTAGAGTGTGAGCTGAGAGTCGTGGCTCTTTTTGCATATACTGTCTGTCTTCTTACGCACGACGTATGTATCTTCAGGTTATACTTCACGGGATTTGCTCCTTATGTAATATAATCAACTATTATTTATTCATGTATTTTTTTGTTTGTTTTTTGAGGCAGGATTCTCCTTGCCCAGATTGACGTCAAACCTTTCTGCCCCAGCCTCCTAGAGTCCTGGAATTTCAGGTGGAACCATTATGCCCCATGTCAACAAACTGTCATTAAAATGGAAGATTAAATAGATTTGAATCTCTTTCAGTGTGTTTGCTTTCTGGCTGTGCCACCTCGTCCTGCCTTTCCCCCGTCCAGGGTTCTGGTGGAATGACTGCTAGACATCATTTCTCTCTCTTTTCCTAACTCTTTGCTCAATTACTCAAGAACCTGGCTCTTTTTCTCCTTCTTATGGCTGTTTTTGAATTTATTTGACTTACAATACCCCAAACAAATCCGTTTCGGTGAGCCAGCTCGTGGGCTACACAGAATATTAGAAATGGGTTAGAACAATATGTAAGAGCTAACCAATAAGAAACTGGACCTAGCCGGGCCAGGCAGTGTTTGAAAGAATACAGTTTCCGTGTAATTATTTCTGGGTATAAACTAGCCATGCGGGCGGCCGGGTGCCGGGGACGCAGCCCCGCCTCTCCTAATTCAACAGCCGTTCAGAGCTAGCAAGATGGCTCATGGGTAAAGAAAGGGCTTTCTGCCAAACCTTCTAATTTGAGTGCAGTTCCCATAACATACATGACAGAAGAGACAGACCTAAATGACTACACAAAGTTGTCCTTCCATGTGGGCACATGACACACACATACACACTCTAAATAAGCATGCTGGGTAGTACATAGCTATAGTTATCTGAGAGAAGGGAGTCCCAGTTGAGAAAATGCCTACATAGTTGCAATTCTCAGCCTGTGGGTAGCGACCCCTTGGGATTTGAAAGACCCTTTCACAGCGCATACCTAAGACAGTCAGAAAACACAGTCATTTACACTGTGAGTCAAAACAATAGAAAGATTACAGTTCTGAAGTAGCAACAAAATAATTTTACGGTTGGGGTCACCACAACACAAGGAACTGTATTAAAGGATCACAGTTTTGGGAAGGCTGAGAACCACTGCTCCTTAACATCAGGCTGTAGGACCTCTTCTTAATTCGTGATTGATGTGGGAGGGCCCAGCCTATTATTTATCTGTATCCCAGCTGGCCTTGAACTCAGAATGTACCGGCACAGATGCATACTATCATTACCACTGTTCAAGACTGCTACCGATCTTTCTACTTCTGCCTCTCTCTTCTTCCTCCCCCTTCCTTCTTCCCTTCCTTCCTTACCTCCCCCCTTTACTCCTCCTTCTTCCTCTTCTTCTCTTTGTCTTCTTTGATGCAGGTCCTTGCTAACATAGAGCGTGCTTTGAAGACCAGGCTGGACTTAAGTTCCGTTTCCAAACAGCTAGAAGTTATAGGTGTGTGCTGTCATATCGGGGTTGCATTTCCTCTGTGTTAAACTAAAACTTGTCGTTTTATTCATATTGATGTTGTTTTACATGGAATTTTCATTCATTATATTTTAAACTTTCCACTGCAAGAGTATAGGAACACATTCAACTTTGTATATTGAGTTTTTATCTTGTGACTTGCTGAGCTGACTTATCAGGTTTTTTGTTTGTTTGTATTTTAGAGAAATTGGGATTGTTTTCTGCGTGCCAGACCATGCCACCAGTGAAAAGATAGAGTTTTGCTTCTTCCCAGTGTGAATGACTTTTCTTGCAATGATTTTCCCTCGAGTGGATGTGGTGAGAACAGACATCTGACCCCTTCCTATCCGAGGAGAGAGCGCTCAGTATTCCTCATTAGGTGGGATGTTAGCAGTGTGGTTTTTATCCGGTTAAGGCTTATTTTCATTCTCTGTGGAGGATTTTTCTATTATGAAATCATTTTACATTTGTTTGGCCTTATACCTTCTGTGCATCTGTCTTGTGGGGTGTGCATTTGATCTATTGATGTACTAACTGGTTACTAAATGTTAAACCTACTTTGCATTTTTGAGGAAAATTCCAAATGATTGCTGTGTTAGTTAGTGCTCTTGCTGCAGAGACAAAACCTGTGACAGAGGTAACTTAAGGGTGTGCAGACAGAACAGCCCACCTCCATGGCAGCAGGCAAGGCATAGCTGGACCCCTCCCCTCCTTAGTTCCCACTTCCTCCTGCAAGGCTCCACCTCCTGAGGATACCACAGCCTCCCCCAGAGAGTGCCACCACTTGGAACTCAAGTGTTTAGATACAGGATCCTTTGGAGATGTTGACCATGCAAACCCCAAAGACACTGTATTTCTTACTTCTTTTCATATTTCTGGTTTGTACTTACTTGTACTTTATTGAGGATTTTTGTACCCATGTTTATGACATGTCCTTTAGCCTTTTGTCTTGTTTTACCCCTTGTGTTATGATTGTTTGATATTATGATGGCATTAGGTTGATATTGAACTCAGAATGAACCATTTTTTAATCAATATTTCCAACATTGGAGACATCTGGGCTTGAAATGTATAGATTTAAAACACAAATTCAGAGTTTACTTGTTTGTAACATATCTATTCAAATTGCCTATTTCTTTGTAAGTCAGATTTGGCCGTTTGTGACCTAGGAATCTATTCATTTCATTTAAGTTGCATGATTTCCCACACATTACCATATTTATTCTACAAGTCTTTCATTGCTATGAATGTGGCAGCTACTCTCTTTTTCACTTATAATTCTATTAATTTAACTCCTCACTTTTTAAAAAAAATCAGCTTAGCTTAAGATTTCTTGATCTTCTCAAGTAATAAGTTTTTAAGTTTTTGATTTTATTTTCTGAAATCTTTGTGTGCACATACACATATGTATGTGGTGTGTGCGTGTGTGTGTGTGTGTGTTCCTGTGCATGAACGCAGGTGCATGTGTGAAGGTCAGAGGGCAACCTTGGGCATCGGTCTTCACCTGCCACCTTGTTTGAGGCAGTCTCTTGCTCACCACGGAGGTTTTCCAGGAAAGCAGAATTTTCCTGTCTCTGCTACTCATCAGAGAATTGAGCATTGAGATCAGAGAGCTCTTCTCCTAGTCCTTACTTTACGTGGGTCCTGGGATTTGAACTTAGGTCCTCCTGCTTTGCAAGTACCTTACCCACTAAACTGTCCCTCCAAACCAATTTTCTCTGTTGTTTTTATATCCACTGTATCATTAATTTCCTCCCTTGTCTTTCTTAGTTCCTCCCATCTTCTTGTTTTAGGCTTGGTTTGCTTTTCTTATTATGATATCTTGAATTAGACGGTTAGGATATTGATGCATAATCTTTGGCTCTTAACATACACATCTCTAAAACCACCTTTTATCTTAAGTTCCAATTTAGCAGCATTCCTGAGTTATGGCACAATATGTCTTCAATATCATTCATCTCAAATCTAATATGCCATTTAATTTCTCCTTTGGCTGAGGATATATTTTTCTCCCAGGAAGCATCCAAAAAAATCGTCACCAAACTTGAAGTCACCTAGGTTTCCTTTAGATTTTCTTTCAGAGTTGTCTGATCTCACATTTTACAGCTATGTCTGGGAACCATTTAGTTAATTTCCTGAAAAGTAGGAAGTCTGAGCTTAGCTGCATTCAAAATTTATTTATTTAAATTATTTTTAATAATGTGTTTGCAGTACTCAAGGCGACCAGCAGAGGGCAACAGATACCACAGTGCTAGAGTTAAAGGAGGGTGTGAGCCACCCGATGAGGGTGCTGGTGAGAGAAATCCAGTCCTCTGCAGGAGCAACAGGTACTCTTAACGAGTCCTCTTCCCAGCCTGTAGGTGCACGATCCTCCAACTGTTTCAGGAATGTTTATTGGAAAGACTCTTCTCCCACCATTGAGAGCTTCCTTTGCTTTCTACAGTTGTTGGCTACATTTTTTTTTAATTCCCTTTTAGGAATTCTTCTAGAAGGCACCCACATTTGAACATACAGCACCACCCCTGGATTCCTGTGAATTCCACTCTAGGGAGGTGTAGGAGCATTGCTCTCCTTACCTTCACCTGTGTTCTCTCCCTTTGGCCTATTTTGTTTTACATATTCTACTTACAAAGGTTTAAAACACAGCCATGCATGTTATACTTCTGACTTTTTATGCTACTGGATCTTTTATACCTGTCCTCTTCATCTAGGCTCTGGTCCTTCCCTCCACTGACCCCTCATCCTCCTCTGGGCTCTGGCCCTTGCCGTCACTGGCTGGTCCTCTTCATCTGGGCTCTGGTATCTACTCTAAGAGATGGTCTTATGAGTTAGCAGAGAAATCTCTTCCTTAGACACAAACTCCAACTGGCACCAGACTCTAGCAGCTGACCTCTCTCATCTTGAAACTCCTCCACTAGTCAATCCCATTGGCTCTATTTTCAAAACATAACCCTAATCTAGCTACTTTTCAAGAAGCTACCCCACCCTGGTGGCCATGGCTGATCATGTGCCAGGAATGCTTATTGCCCTTGGGTTCAGTGTGAAACACGTCAAACATGAAGCACAATAGATTAAACATAGAAACCCTCCTTTCTGTGCCCAGGTTACACAGGCGAGGGAAGATAATTGTACTTCGGGTGTGTGAGGGAGTCTCAGGATCGGTGATAAGCTTAAACCATGGACCACGTGTCCCCTGGAAGACTCCTGTCTTTTTACCCTTGGAGTCTCAGCTGAAAACCCTGTCCTCTGTGAACCCCTTACCAACTTCCCCAACTAAATTTGTTTTTGTTCTTGTTTTTCGAGACAGGGTTTCTCTGTCGCTTTGGAGCCTGTCCTGGAACTCCACTCTCAGCACCTATAGGAATCAATGGTGACACTTCCGTTGTCTGAATCCCCCTCAAGAGTCACCAAATATGAGTTTGGGCAGGGACACATCACATCCAAGTCATGGCAGAGTTTGTGTTTCAAGGAAGAACTTTGATTTGATTTGATCTAAGCACGTGTTGTCTGTGGTTCGCCTATGTGTTGTAAAGCAAATACTATAGTCTTTCTGAGTTTTTTTTAACTACATTTATGCATGGGTATATGGTGTGCCAAGTCCTTCTGTATATGTGTTGCTTTTATTTGTTAGTGAACAAAGAAGCTACCTTGGCCTGTGATAGGGTAGAGTAGAGCTAGGCAGGGAAAACTAAACTGAATGCTGAGAGAAAGAAGGTGGAGTCAGGAGATGCTATGTAGCCACCAGAGGGGAAAGATGCGAGCTGCCAGCTGGAATCATACCAGTAAGTCATGGCCACGTGGTGATACACAGATTAATAGAAATGGTTTAAATCAAGGTGTAAGAGCTAGCCAGTAAGAAGCTAGAACTAATAGGCCAAAGTAATTTAATTAATACAGTTTCTGTGTGTTTATTTCAGGTCTGGGTGTCTGGGAACAAACTAATGGCCTCCTACTACAGGTATATGCAAGTACGTACAGATATCCACGGAGGTCAGAGGCATCAGCTCCCCTGGGGCTGGACCTGATCCAGCTGCCTGACTCGAGTGTTGGTCTTTGAACTTAACTCGGTTGCTGTGCAGCAGCAGTAAGCACTCAACTATTGAGCCATCTCTCCCCCTCCCCTTCCCAACACATTCATCATCCGTCCTACACGTGGCTTTTCCCACACTCATTATCTCTGTAGAATCATGCCTGTATTTTCCCCTCTTCCAGTCAGTCCCATTGGATCTGGTTTTGAAACATAATATGTAATTCAGATTTATCTCTCAAGATCTTTGGAAGTACCTCTACCTTCTTCCCACACATGCCGTGGTCTCTACCTAGCTCCCTGTTCCTTAACGTGTCTATTCTGGACACAACAACCAATGTGCTTCTCCTAAAATATTGGTCAGCTTATATTACTCTTCTGTTCCTGTCTAGAGTACCCCAGGCCTTGGGTTTAATCCCCAGCACTGTAACAGAACAAAGCAGCTCCCCATCCTCCAGGCATCATCCATAGACAGAGGAAGCTGAGCTTCCGGGCTTAGAAACTGGATGGTCCTGCATATACCCTCCCCACCTGGAACTCCAAGTTTCTACACGTTCCACACATTCTCTGGCCTTGTGACCTTAACATTTTGATATCTCTGGTGGAAACCTCTTCCACAATGAGCCCATATTCACATGCCTAGTTGACTTCCTGTGGTGATTTGAAAGAAAATGGTTCTCAGAGGGAGTGACACTATTAGGAGGTGTATGTAGCCTTGTTGGGGGAAGTGTGTCAGTCTAGGGTTGGGCTTTGAAGTCTCATATGCTCAAGCTATTCCCAATATCACAAACTCCATCTCCTTCCTATGGATTAAGGTGTAAAACTCTTTTTTTTTAAATTTTTTTTTGTAGTCCAGGCTGGCCTCGAACTCACAGAGATCCGCCTGCCTCTGCCTCCCGAGTGCTGGGATTAAAGGCATGCGCCACCACCACCTGGCAAGGTGCAAAACTCTTATCTCCTTCTCCAACACTGTGTCCACCTGCACGTTGGTATATCCTGTCATGATGATAATGGACTAAACCTCTGAAACTGTAAGTTGGCTCCAATTAAATGGTTTTTTTTTTTAATATATGGATTGCAGTGTGTATGGTGTCTCTTCACAGCAATAGGAACGCTAAGTAAGACACATCCCTTCCTTTAAGTCTTTGATCCCAAACCATATTTTTAGTAAGGGCTTTGTTGGAATGTGGATCTGCCGAAATGTCCTTCAAAGCCCATGCGTTTAAGGCTTTTTTCACCCCGTGGATTTTGGAATGAAACAGAAGCCATAACACGTGGACCTAGTATGAGACTTTAGGTGGTTACAGGAATGCCATCATGAGACATTCCCTTACCCGTTCTCTGAATAGATGCTTCTACCATGTTGTTTTCCATATTTCCCCATTGCTGTAGGCCAAAGAGCAATGAAGCAAACGAACCATGGACTGAAAACTCCAAAACTATGGGCCAAGGGTGGCCTTTTAGCTTTATGAGTTGATTAGCTTGGGTGTTTTGTCAGTGCAGTGGAAAGTGAGCAGCTCATGTTTCTCTACTCTCCATTGCCCTCAATTCAGTTTGTTCTTCTCCACTGTAGTTATCAAGTTTTAAACATTCAGAGTTTATTGTGTACTTCTTTCTCCCTGTCTATACCTCCTAGGATATGGGGTCCTTGAAGGTCCCTGCGACTGCTGTTGTTGATTGCGCACCATTATTGCAGCCTACACTACAGTGGGTTCCCAATGTCCATACACTGAACGAAGAAGTATGCTTATGCAGGGATGTATGAATTGAATGTCTGTGGTCTAGCCTGGGACAGTATGGAAATGCTGGTTGTATTAGGAAACACACAACTGTAGAGAGGACAGGGGACCACTGGGAAAGGAAGAAAGTAGATGATATTCACCTACTTGTGAGGTTTCGCTTGGTGCTTTGGGCTGGCTCTGATGCCTTTGGCCCTGTCTTCCTCGGTTGTCCATGGCACATACTTCCTTCTTGAAGGCACCAAAGTAACTCTCACCAAATACTTCCTGACTGACAGCTTAATTACATTATTAGAAATGGATTTCTTCTGTTTGATTATGTGGGGATGGGGTGGGGGGAATAAACCCCTTTCCAGACAGTTTTGTTGCACAAGCTTGTTCCCTGGGCTCCCCAGGGAAGAGAGTTCAGGGGTTTCTTGTGCTATGTGAGGGGACTGGATTTAGATCACAGGAGACAGTGATGAGGTGGCAATGCAGGCTGATCAGAGATGAAGCTACCTGAGATAAAGGCAGAACCAGGGAGCTGGAACAGTGAGAATCTAGGGTGAGAAGCCGTAGTACAGTTTAAGTCTGTATCAACTTCCCTTGGTGGCTATCTTTAGCGCAGTGTCACGACTCACGATTTTATAACTTCGAACACCTCAGTTTGTGTACACTTGTTAAGAGTCTGTGTTGTTGACCGGAACATAAACTGCGAGAGAAGAACTGATTATTTTGTCAGTTCTATTTCAAGCAAAATGTTTGGTCATGCTGTGGCTCACATATGGCAGCGATTAAATATTTAAAAGATGAAATTCCAAAGCAGAAGGAAGGAACTGAGGTTTAACCTCAGTTGTCCCAACCAAAGGAGATCAATCAGCAAGGGGTTCTCTTCTAGGGATAAACTTTCCTTCCAGGAGACTCTTGTCCCAGGTTACTCTTCTCTTTCTTCCTTTTTTTTTTTTTAATATTTATTTATTTATTTATTATGTATACAATATTCTGTGTGCATGCCCGAAGACCAGAAGAGGGCGCCAGACCTCTTTTACAGATGGCTGTGAGCCACCATGTGGTTGCTGGGAATTGAACTCAGGACCTTTGGAAGAGCAGGCAATGCTCTTAACCACTGAGCCATCTCTCCAGCCCCTCTTTCTTCCTTTTTGATGAGAGACAAAGATTTGTGGTTTTCATCAGAGGAAAGAAAAGCACCCATTTTGCATTTCCTTGTGTTTTGTGCAACAGCATTTGGAATTGTGATGTCTGAAGAGATGACAAGATAGGAATCTATGTACCTGCTACACTAAACTTTGAGAAGCACAGCTCTAAGTGACTAAACTGTCTCCTGCAGTACACAGGGCAGGAGGCAGACAGTGAGGTCTAGGCAGATGCAGGGGCACAGGGTGTGGACTGGCATTTATGTGGTCTACAAGGGCTTCAGAAGCACCAGAGTAGATGGCTGAGACCAAGGAGGGGAGCAAAGAGCATGGGGAGAGAGAGATCTCAGACAGGGCAGCAAATGACAGAAGACAAACCAAACTTGGTGTGTGTGTGGGGGGGGTGCAAAGAGTGATTTTATTTTGGGTTTATTTATGTGGACGTGAGTCTGTCTGCAAATATGCAAGTGCAGTGCCCATGGAGGCCAGAGGAGAGTGAGAGTGTTGGATCCCCTAGAGCTGTTACAGGTAGTTCATGAACTGCTCGGTGTGGGCCCTGGTAACTGAACTCGGGTTTCTGGGAAGAACAGAATGTGCTCTTAACTGCTGAGCCATTTCTTTGGCACCCCATTCCCACCAAAGGATATTTATTTGAAGAGTGGAGAGGGAGGTCAGAGCTACTGGAGTCCCAGGCACCCAAGCTATCGCTTCTTTCTGTCTTCCCTTTTCTCTTCTTTTGCTGTCCTTCTAGCCTCTCTTTGTCTCCCCCTCTGTGTCTCTTCCTCTCTCCCTACTTCTCTCATTTCTTCCCCACATCTCTCTGCTGCTTCCTTTTTTCTACTATAGATATGGGCATTCTCCACACATGAGGAAAAGTGTCAAAGACACATCCTGAAGGATGTAGAGCTGCATCTGAACATATGCTCTGTCAGACTGCCCAGGGTGAATTCTCTGTCTTGTTCCTCAAGTATGGTCAAAAACGGGCTCTTAGGTGGGCATCAGAGGAGCAAGTTGCAATAGTCACTAAGACTTTTTGGTGCCTTTCCTTGGTTAAGAGACTCTCTGAGTGAGTGGGGTTTGGAGAAATAAAGAGACAGGAATAGGGCTTTCTGAGACCAAGCAGGGGTGAGTGGAGGTTCCAGGCACCCACCTTTAATCCCAGCACTCAGGGGACAGAGACAGATCTCTGTGAATTTGAGACCAGACTGGTCTACATAGAGAGAGGTTATCTCAAAAAAAGAAAAAAAAAAAAAGGACATGAAGGTGAGAGGAGAGGAGGTGGGAAATTGAAGGCATATGGAAGGGGCTAGAGGGAAGAATGAGAGTTAAATACAATAAAAATATATTGTATGCATGATGTGGAATTTCCCTCTGTATTCCATGAATACTACTGGTTAACAAAGAAGCTGCTTTGGGCCTATTGCAGTGCAGAATAGGTCAATGTGGGAATTCCAAGCAAATAGAGGAGGAGAGAGTAGGCAGAGTCAAGGAGATGCCATGTAGTGCCAAAGGAAAAAGACACCCACAGAAGCCCACCAGAACTTTGCTGGTATGCCACAACCTTGTGGTGATGCACAGGTGAATAGAGATGGGTGTAATTTAAGATTTAAGAGCTAGCTAGCAATATGCCTAAGTGATTGGCCAGGCAGTGTTTTAATTAATACAGTTTCTATGTGATTATTTCAGGTCTGGGTAGCCGGGAACGAACAAGCAGCCTCCAACTACAGATTGGTGCCACAACATGGACAACTACATACACATAAACCCTGAAAGATCTTGGAAAGGAATTATAGACACAAAAGAACAGAGTTTATTGCAGCTTCCTTGAAGCCACATTTTTACCCCTCCAGATGAGCTCTGTTTGCTGGCAGAGAGCAGAGGCTCCATGGCTCCTTTAAGAGAGGTCTTCTTGACATAGCATAGACAGCAAAGGCTGCTTGGCTCCTTTCAAAAGGCTTCCTGGTTTATGCTAGTTGCACAAACAACTCTGGCTCTTTCAGGAGACCAAGCACTTGAATGGGGTTTGTGAGCAGAGTGCTACAACTTGCTTAATGGCAACATAGACCCATTATGTACCTGAAAATGAGGCTATGGGCATGGCTCAGAGAGCTGGAGCTGAATGGACCTCTGCCATGTTAGATTGGGTAGAACCAAAAGGCAAAGCAGCCTTCATTCTAGCCACATCACTTAGCATTTTAAGAAGTGGTCCTGGTAAGAAAAAAGATTACAGATATATAATAGAGTCAAATTAGATTGAAAAGACCTTTAAATGGGTTACAGTGCTGGATAAATGTATGTGAGCTTGAGAGAGAGAAGAAAAAGAATATAGAAAAATAAAACAAAGTTTTTAAAGAGACGGAGTGTAGATAGTCATGGATTAAAGGATAAAAAAATAAGCCACATAAAGATGGAATATATACAGAGAGTTGGATTATGTAAATTTTTGTGTTTTATTTAAATTTTTGACTGTGAATGAGCTATAGAGAGACATTTCATTGTATGGGCTGCTAAGCTAAACCAACATATATATTTTAAAGGTATCTTGACTTCAAAATTTGGGTCTAAAGATCTGGAAAAGAGGTTCTGCTTTTGTTTCCACGGAAAATGAGAACCTGTGGATTCCTTCTAGGCTAATATAGTTTGATGGATCAAGACCCCTCAAAAGGTCACTGTGAACACCCAAAATTGCTTTGCCCAACAAAAAGCAGAAAGCAGTTTGGAGAGAACTATGCCCAAATTCTCTAAATGATTGTTTGCAAATGTTTGTTTACATGTAAAGGGGAACATACTATAGAGATGAATAATTTGCATTGGTATGGATCTTGATTTATTGATAAAAATTTGAGATCAATTTTGTTGTATGTGTAAGGTATTGTGGTTGTTCAGCTCATTTAAAAATGTAATGAATAATTAAGAAATATAGGCTAATAGTCATCTATAATAGTCAAGCTTGTAATTGTGTTAGGTTTTCTAGATGTACAAAAATATATTTCAGAAGGATAACTATTCTTCAAACATTTCAAAGACTTTCGGAATATGTCATTTAAAATGTTTAAAAACTTAGGACTTTTCATGACAGTGGGACACATCTGCTCCTGGCAGCACCAATCTATTTCAAGAGGATGATGGACATTGAAAAGGCTCCTTATGGAGTTTGTTAGCCATTTGGGCAAGAAACTGTTCTTGCCTGGACTTCTTAATGTTATGCTGTATGAATTGGACATGCAGGACCCACAGGAAAATGATTGCTGAAGTTGCCTAAAGAAAGTGAGACAGTCCTTCAGGATTCCTGCTTCATGAAAGAGACTGCCAGACATTTTTCAGGACACAGAAGAAAGTGATTGACAAACTACTAATATAGGTATACTGACTTTCAAATTTCCTGCTTCATGGAAAAGTCTCACTGTAGGCTGAAGATTGATTCCCCAATAATACAGAACTTTGAGTGACTGTCCAGGCAGTGAGATTTCTCTGTCAATTCTAGAGTTTTGGAAGTTGCTTACAATGCACTTCCTGTTAATTTAGGTAATATTATATCCTTCTGGGGGTTTTGATGGAGTTGAAGAATAGTTATAATTATAGCTTTCTTTAGTTATGATAAAAGATAAATTATATATAAAACTTTAGACTCACAAAGGTAGGGTAGATGATAGTGTATTTTTCTTAATTTGCCAAATGTAAATGGACTAAATATTGTAATTGTAATTCTTGGTTGGTAACTGTTTTGTTGTATGCAATCTTAGTATGTTAAAGTTCAAACCTTCCTTGTTATTTAGACAGAAATGGGGAGGTGATGTAGGATTTCCCTCTGTATGCTGTGAATACCATGGATTAATAAAGAAGCTGCTTTGGACTTATTGCAGTACAGAATAGGGCAAGGTGGAAACTCCAAGCAGATTGAGGAGGAGAAAGTATGCAGAGTTGAGGAGATACCATGTAGCTGCCAAAGGAGACAGATGCCCCCAGGAACCTTGCTGGTTTAAGATTTAAGAGCTAGCTAGCAATATGCCTAAGTGTTGGCCAAGCAGTGCTTTAATTACAGTTTCTATGTGATTATTTCTGGTCTGGGAGGTTGGGGATGAACATGCAGCCTCCAACTACATATGCATGTATCAAATTCTCAAGGAATTAATAAAGATATTCTATTTTAAAAACATTGTTAGACAGTGGTGGCACACACCTTTAATCCCAGGTGGATCTCTGAGTTTGAGGCCAGCCTGATCGATGTAGTAAGTTCCAGGACAGTCAAGGTTACACAGAGGAGCCCTGTCTTGAAATCACCTCTCTGCACAAAAGAAATCCCATTTATGGTCTCTAACTTGGTTTCCAAAGGTGGTGAAATCCATCAAGAATAGGCAGAATCCTCACAAGGAACCATTCCTGCACAAATGTGACATGTACATTTCAGTGCCTCTTGAATTGGCAATAATAATCCCCCAGTCAGAAAGAAGCAGGTCAATTAGATGCAGGTAAAGCTTTTTAACTGTGTTGCTAGGTAACTAAAGAAAGTCATGATTATTAAGTAATTTATCATATAAACATTCACTGGAAAGACAAGGAGCCACAGATAGCATGTTTGTAGAAATACACTCAATTATATTGTTTCCACATTTATATCCCAATTATCATGCACACGCTCACTTATCATTAGTCCAGCACCTTCTATTGATATGTACCATGTTCTGAGCTGAAGAATCAGCAATAAATTTACAGTTGAATCTGACTACACTACATAGACACACAAAATACATTTTTGTCGCTGATAAAATGTTTTACCCTTCTATGATGACTAATCTTGGTTGTCACCTTGACTACATCTCGAATCAACTGAAACCCAAGCAGCTGGATGAGCCAGTAAGAGAGTGTCTTGATTGGGTCATTTGAGGTGATGAGTGGGTTTCTCATTGACCACAGTGAAACTGTGGGGCTGGGAGGACAAGAAAGGTCTTGAAAAGAAGGCTACCCACTGTTATGCTGATAGGATGCTTACACAATCATCCTAAACTTTCTCTTACCTCAGTAATTGAGCCTATGGCCCTGTACATGCTAGACTAGTACACTCATACTTAGCTACATCTGCAGTCTAAACTTTTGAAGCTTTATGTAGCTAAGGAACACTTATAGAACATGTGTGGGTTTTATTCTAAAGATACACACATCTGCAGGATAGATATTCCTACTCGTACAGTACTTGTGAACAAAGGAGTACAGGAAGGTGGAGATGGGAAATGATTATGACAGGGGTCTTAAGAATGAGTGTCTTGGAAGAGATGATGCTTCACCCTGCCAATCAGAGGAAATGAATGGCACTGTGCAGCCCTCCTATGTAGAAACAAAGTGTTGCCTTAGGTCCCATCACAACATGATACCCACTGCCCAGACAGCCTTCTTTTCTCAAGTTCTCCAAGGAGCTAGTGCTGCAAAGAACAAGAAGAGCCAGTGCTGGTAAAATCAGTGACTGCAGGCAGGGGCCAGGGTGAGGAGCACAATTGCCAGGGGTGTAGGTGTGTTGACACCTGTGGAAGGGGCACGTTGGGGAGGCCTTGTTTGCTGATTGTGAAGGCTATGTGTTGGGCTGTAGGCATTTGTCAGGAAAAAAGAAAGACTTTGATTCATTGTACCTCATCTAGAAAGTGAGTGAACTGCAGCGGTCGGATTAATAATCACCAAAAGTAATAGGTATTTGAACAAGTTTAATAACAAAACCAGACTCACGAAACCAAGGTTCCAGCGGAGTAGCCGCGGAGACAGGAGAGGAAGGGAAGGGGCGCGCAGCCTCTGCCCGCCCAATATATCAGTAAACATACGCCCGAGGGCAGCCCGCCCCCAAGGGGAGGGCTTATCCCTACAGTGAACTCCTTCTCAAAGGACATTTTTTTTTTTTTTTGCCAGCATGCCTTGCAATACCAACAGCGGAACTTATTTCTATCTCAGAATCATCAAATGAATGAAAAACATTCAAGTAATATATTTAATAAAGCTAAAGAGAGGAAAAGGTATCCTGTATCCTGATCACACACCCTCCAGTTGTTTCTGAAGAGTTCCATGTAATGTAGGTTGACCGCCAACTCCTTAGGCATTTGAGGATGGTCTTGAACTTCCGGTCCTCTTACCTTCATGGTGGGAGTGAGAAGGAAACACAAAACATGCAACAAACCCGCCCAGGAGTTTATTAGAGGAGACGTGCACAGGCCTGGTGAAGTCTGTGCAGAAAGAGTGGGCTGAAGATGGCGCGTCCAGCTTTTAAAGGCTGCCTAGTGCAAGCGCACAGGGGGATGATGTCGCTACGTCATATGCAGATGGCAGAGCTGGTGCATGCATGCAAGGGCTTATGTAGCTGGGTCATACATCGGTGATGCAACCATGCGGCATGTGGGTCATGCAGGGCCTTTTAAGGTCTCTGGGCAGTTAGGTATTTTTGCCTGAGGGCTTGTCCACACATGTGTGGCCCTGGAACCCAGAAGTGCCAGCCATGGTGGTTGGCTAAAATCATAACATTCTACCCTTTTGTTTATTATAAAAATTTGGGGAGTTTGGGGTCTTTAATGGGTGGGAATGGGGCGTCATCAGGTCTCTTGTGACTGCTTCCTGCTGATTTTGTGGGTGTTGTCAGGTCTCTCGAGACTGCTTTTTGCAGATTTTGTGGGTGTCGGAGAGTTGAGGTGCTTGACCATGTCCTGGGGTGGCTGATTACTTTTGTGTCTTTTTGGGCTTTATGGAACTGGCTGGCTGGCAGCTTGGATCTCACAAGATGCTGGAAAGGCAGAAAATTATGTCTGGAAAAATTTTAGATCCTGGTGATTGAGGGAGGAGTGTCCCAAGATGGAAGATGGAGGGTTCTTTTGGGGGTGGAGGAGGGAATTTCTCAGGGGTTCCCGAGATCAAGAATGATAAGGGAAGAGTTAAATGATACTTATTCTGGGCGAGTCTGGTCCATTTAAATACGTCCAATTGGCTCCATGGAGCTTATAAAAAATGTTTGAAAAGAAATACATTTTAAATATATTAAAAGCTTATGACTACGATAGTATAGTGTTGGAATAGAAGACGGTGGAGAGGAAGGAAGAAAAGAAGGGGAAATTATTGGAAAGGGGAATTATTAGACCTCTGAAGCAAATCTTAAAGCACTTGTTCTCTTTAGCATCGCTGTATTACCTTAATATGCAGGAGACACTGCTGCAGTCAGTGATGAACCTGTTACGCTAAAGTCTGTTTTGGAGTCTAGGGCTGTGAATGTCCCTGAACTCGTTATTGTTTCTTAAGCACCTGGGCTTTTGGCAGTCCTTGTACTTACGGCTCTGTGTTTAATGGTGGTCCTGGTAATAACAGCTGAGTGGTTAACTGGAAATATAAGTATGATACTGGAGCTATAGAGAAGTTGCCCTGTTCGTGCAGTGCAGGGGATCCATTCCTGGGCTTCCTGCATACTAGGCAGGCATTCTACCCACCGAGCTCCATCCCCAGCACTTGCCTGACTCTTTTAAACGGAGACTTACAGGGCATTTTCAACCATGGTAACTGGCATTTTGTGGTGACGCTGTTGCTCTAAGATCACTGTCAGCTCCAGAGAAAAGGCTTTGATAATGAGGTTCCCTGGCAACGAAACCCCTCAGGTTTCTGTACCGTGTCAGGGTGCACTTAATAAGATTTTGGTATCAATTTGGTACCCTGAGGATTCGTAGAGCCGTAAGCATGATACCTTCACATCCCTAGGTGTTGCTATAGTAATGACTAGTGTAAAATTTGAGCTCCATTAGAATATTTATAGACTCAAAGTTGTTTAAATATTTTGATAATGCTTTCTCTAAAATAAATCAAAATAGAGGAAACTCATTAATTTGCTAAATATTGAACCGCCCAGAGGCCTTTGTTAAAGAAACGGGTAGAGCAGCTAGAAATTTAAACCGGATAAGGTTAGAGGTTTTCAGTGCTGCAATCCTACCTGACACCTCCATTTTCTTTTCTGTGAAAAACTACAGACCTTTCCTGCTATCGCCATGAATTATTGACATCAAGTTAGATATGGCTTTGCTAAGAAAAGCGTAACAATCTCTTTGACAGACTGAGAAACTGATATGTGGCAAGGAGGCAATCCCCAGTATCAACCAAATTTGAATTACTAGGAAATCAACAAATAGTGTTGTCGGGAAACATGTGGATCAACCCATTTCTGCAGTTTTCAGTGCTCAAGAAAGAGTGCAAAGGGGCACACACAATAGGGATAGGTCTCAAGGTTGCAAACCAACTTAACCAATTGGGTTTTTTGTTGTTGTTGCTTTTTTCTATTTATTTATTTATTTATTTTTTAATTTTTATTTTTTTCATTCAAAAATTTACACTTCCTCCCCTCCTCCCATTCCCCTCCCACTTCCTCCCTCCCCCTCCTACCTCCCCCTCCCCCCTTAAGAGAGGGCAGGGAATCCTGCCCTGTGGGAAGTCCAAGGCCCTCCCCCCACTACATCCAGGCCTAGGAAGCTTTGCATCCAAATAGACTTGGGTCCCAAAAAGCCAGTGCGCAGTAGAAACAAGTCCCAGTGCCTTTATCAATGGCTTCTCAGTAAACCCCCATTGTCAGCCATATTCAGAGAGTCCAGTTTGATAGCATGCGCATTCAGTCCCAGCCCAGCTGGATTTGATGAGCTCCCATTAGAACAGGCACACTGTCTCCGTGGGTGGACCAACCCCTCACAGTCCAGACTTCCTTGCTCATCTTCTCCCTCTTTTTGCTCTTCAACTGGACCTTGGGAGTTCAGTCCGTTGCTCTGATGAGGGTCTCTGTCTCTATCTCCATCCATCGCCGGACGAAGATTTTATAGTGATATTCGAGAAAGCATCTTCAACAAATGGTGCTGTCATAACTGGTTGTCAACCTGTAGAAGAATTAAAATAGATCCATATCTATCACCATGCACAAAACTCAAATCCAAATGGATTAAAGACCTCAATGTAAATCCAATCACACTGAACCTGATAGAAGAGAGAGTGGGAAGTAGACTGCAACACATGAGCACAGGAGACCACCTCCTACGTATAACCCCAGTAGCACAGACAACAAGAGCAACAGTGAATAAATGGGACCTCCTGAAACTGAGAAGCTTCTAAAGCAAAGGACATTGTCATTAAGACAAAAAGGCATTCTACTGAATGGGCGAAGATCTTCACCAACCCCGCATCAGACAAATGTCTGATCTCTAAAATATACAAAGAACAAATTGTTAAATAAAATATCCTTCTCCCCTCTCCCCTTCTCTTCTTCCTCCCAGGTAAGGCCCTCCCTGTCTCTGGCTCCTGTTCTGTGGTAATTTGAATAAAAATGGCTCCATAGACTCATACATTTGAATACTCAAGTCACCAGGGAGTGTCATTACTTGAGAGGTTTAGAAGGCTCAGGGGTTGGGGCACTGAGGGTGGGCTCTGAGGTTTTAACTGCCCACACCAGGCCCTGTCTCTCAGGATGTACTTTTCAGTTACCGGTCCAGCACCACACATGCTATGATGCTCTCCCCACCAGTATGATAAACGGACTAAAGGAAACTGTAAGCAAGCCCCCAATTTAAGGCTTCCTTTTATGAGTTGCCTTGATCACGGTGTTTCCTTACAGCAACAGGATAGTGACTAAGATATCCTCAGTTTCTTTTTCTGTGGTGAGGTAGGTGTTGTTGTTCTGCGAGGGAGGGAGCCCACGGGGTGGGGGTCAGGGAAAAATACACCATGCATACCGAGCTTAACGAGAGAGATTATTGAGGGAAGAGGGAAGGCGAGGGAAGAGAGAAAGATCAACAGAGAGAGAAAGAGAGAGACAGAGAACTGTTTGCCTCTTCAGAAGAACAGCGGGAAGTGAGCAGGAATGGGTGGAGCTTGTCTGTTAAATGGACCTTTTACACCTGCGTTTAGATTAGTAGCGATGTAGCAGCCACAGGACCCTGGGCTGGCCAGGGTACTGCCTGAGTGCATCCTTCCAGGTGACAGGGGCCCACATAATGCCTGAATCCTAACAAGAGTGTCTTGTAGTGTAGCTCAGGCTGTGCTCAAACTTACTGTGTCGTCAAGGATAATCTTGAGCCTCCTGAGGGTTTGGAGTATAGACAGGAGTCACAATGCCCAGTCTATGGAGTGTGAGGGATGGAACCCAGGGTTTTGTGCATACTAGATGAGCACTCTCCCGAACCCCCAACCCTGGTTTATCTTCTTCTACCAACAGGAACACTTTCTTGACACCCAAAAGGCAAAGTCTGATTTTACATTCTGGAATTACTTAATGCCGCACACAGATTATGGTCATCTGGGGATAGGTGATCTGGTTGCCAATCCCATTTCCTGCCACTCACTCAGCTTCTCCCCAAGGACTCCTGTAGGCAAGAGGCCCCATGGCACATAGAACCTACAGTGACACCCTAGCCTTGCAAGTAAATCTCTATCCTCCTGCAACAGCTGCCGACAGTTGCCTCTCTACTTTACAGGGTGCGGTGGGTACATCGGCTACACACAGAGAAGACGCTAGCATAAGACTGAACCGGAAGAGAGTTGGCGGTCATTTGAGAGGAAGAATCTGGGGTACCTGGAGCACGATTTAGAAGTAAGAACGCATAGTGTGTGGGCACAGGGGAGGGACAGTTCATTCTCTAAAGCACGAGGTCGGGGGTGGGACTTCTGGCACACACCATGGGGGCAGAAACCAGAAGCCTCCTTGAGCTAACATTGAGGGCTGAAACTACGCTCCTCCTGTTGAACTATTATCTTTTTTAAGGGTGAGCTGTTTGCTTTTCTAGATTGGTCAATTTTATGGGCTTCCTGATATGCCACCACCCATAGAGAAATGGGCAGGAAAAGGCCTTGGGATCCCTAGGGAGGTGCCAGATGTTGCCAGAAGCTTGGGTCGCAGGGTCCTGAGACCATGCTTTTCTTTAAGGATGTTTTCAAATGCTCCATCACCTCCTCACCCGACTCAGAGTTCTTTGCCAGGATGCCCATGGCTCTTGCTCCTCTGTCTCCTCTTTCCAATTGAAGGATCCCAGCAGGCTTGGCTGAGACAGAGCTACCGCCCCTCTAGGGGTGATTCTTCCATCCACCTCTCCCCACCTGAAGCCATGGTTTTGTGTATGGGTGTGGGAGGGTTCAAAGATGAATCAGTCCCTCTCTGCTAATCTCTATAGTGACTCATCTCAGGGTGGAGAGGAGAGAGAGGCCAGCCACACCTGGGAAATGTGCCTTTTGGATCCTGGAGATTGAATTACTCTGCAGTTTGCATTTGATTTAATTATTTCAAACAATGTAATTATAGTAACGAGAACAAAACTGCTGTTGCCATGTCCTCGCTTTGCACCAGGAATTTAGGCAACTCTCTCTCTCTCTCTCTCTCTCTCTCTCTCTCTCTCTCTCTCTCTCTCTCTCTCTGTGTGTGTGTGTGTGTGTCTCCCCCCTCTCTCTATCAAGCCCCCCCATTCTACTTGATCTCTGCTTCCTAGCTCATTTCCTGCAGGCTGATTTCAGGTTCAACCTGTTTTTTAATGTTATGAATCATATCACTGACTCAAAGCAAATTTGGATGGAAAAACAAAAGCCAAACCTAGTTTCTATTAGAAATCAAACCTAGAAAGAAACGTGAGTTATTATTCTCAGAACACTTAGCAAACGTCCACTAAAGCATTATTCATTCATTCGTTCATTCAGCAAAAATATGTTGTAGGCATACTCAATGGCCTACATATGTGAAGGCAATTTTATATAAAGACAATAAGTGTTTTATCTGAATGGCACTTTTTTTTTAAAACTTCATTTATATATGAAGGCAATCTAAATGAAATGACCAAACTAAGGGGGAGACAGAGCGTCAGATGGACATCTCGTGTCACCAAACAAAGTTTCCGGTGCCAGGAATGGGTTACATATAGTTGAATTGTTGGCCAAAGGGCTCCTATGGTGTCTTAGTTAGGGTTTCTATTTTTATGAAGAGACAGCATGATCATGGAAACTCTTATGAAGCAAAGCATTTAATTGGGCCTGGCTTACAGTTTGCAGATTTCATCTGTTGCCATTGTAGTGGGAAGCATGGTGGCAGGCAGCTATGGTGCTGGTGAGGTAGCTGAGAGTTCTACATTCAGATACAATGAATAGCAGGAAGACAGAATGCCACCCTGGGCCTGGCTTGAGCTTCTGACACCTCAAAGACCCCATCCAGTGACATACCTCCTCCAACAACACCACACCTACTCCTATAAAGTCACAGCTCCTAATAGTGTCACCCCCAGGAGCCTATAGGGGCCATTTTCACTCAAACCACTATGTTCTACTCCCTGGCCCCCATAAACTTGTAGCCATATCATAATGTGCAGATGCATTCAGTGCACCTTCAAAAGTCCCCATAGTATATAACAGTCTCAATTCTGTTTAAAGCTCTAGTCTCTTCTGAGACTCATGACAATATCTTAAGTGCAATCCCCTATAAAGTCAAAATAAAAAAGTAGATCACATATAATGGCAAGGATATACATTACCATACCAAAAGGGACAAATGGAGCATAATGAGAAAATACTGGACCAGACTGGTCTCCACCGGTCCAGACCGGTTTCGACTGGCACAGACTGGAAAAAACCAGTTTCAACCAGACCAGACCAGTCCAGATTGGTTTCTACCAGTACAGACTGAAACAGACCCCTCCTGACCGGCCTAGACCGGAACAGAGCAATCAAGATTGGTTTTGACCGGCCCAGACTGGCCCAGACTGGACCAGACCGATTTCGACCAGTGCAGACCAGACCAGACCAGTCTCAAACGGACCAGACCGGTCAAGACCGGTGTCGAGTGGACCAGACCGGACCAGAATGGTCCAGATTGGTTTCGACCAGTCCAGACCGGAACAGACCAATTTTGACCAGACCAGACCAGTCCAGAAGGGAGTTCGACCAGAACATTCTGGTTTCAACAGGTCCATACTGGAACAGACCATCCCAACTGGTCTGGACAGGTTTCGACTGGACCAGACCAATCCAAACCAGTTTCTATTGGACCAGACTGGTTCTGACCATTCCAGACTGAACCAGACCTGTCTCGACTGGTTCAGACTGGTTTCGACCGGCCTGGACTGGAACAGACCAGTCCCAACTGGTCCAGACCGGTTTCAACCCATCCAGATCAGTTTTGACTGGTCCAGACTGGACCAGATCTGTCTCGACCAGACCAGACCCCTCTAGACCGGACCAGACCGGTCTCAACCAGACCAGACAGGACCAAACCGGTCAAGACCAGTTTTGACTGGTCCAAACCAGAATAGACTGGTCCAGACTGGTTCAGACCGGTGTTGACCAGTCTAGACTGGAACAGAACGGTCTTGACTGATACGGACCGGTTCCGACTGGACCAGACCTATCATGACCAGTCCAGACCGAACCAGACAGGTCTCGACCAGACCAGACTGGTCCAGACTGGTCTCGACAAGTACAGACTAGACCAGACTGCTCAACCAGAACAGACAGGACAAAGACTGGACCAGACAAGAATATACTCGTCCAGACCAGTCCAGACCAGACAAAGACCGGACAAGACTGGACTCGACTGGTCTAGACCGGAACAGACTGCTGTTGACCGGATTCTACCAGACCAGACCAGTCTTAACAGGACCAGAGCAGTAGCGACCAGAACAGACTGGTCCAGACCGGTCTCACAACCATCTGTAACTGTAGTGCCATTGGATTCAGTGTCCTCTTATGATATGCAGATGTATATGCAGACACAACACCCCAATACATAAAATACATTGTAGTAATAAGTGCGGTGGGGCTGCATCCCCAGCACCCCGGCTGCCTGCTAGCTTATGCCCTGAAATAACAATACACAAACTGTATTCATTGAAGCACTGCTTGGCCCATTTCTATCTAGCCTCTTCTAGGCTAACTCTCGCACCTGGACTAGCCCATTTCTAATAAGGTATGTAGCACCGCTAGGTGCGCTTACCGGGAAGATTCTAGCCTACGTCCATCCTGGGTCGGAGCTGCCTGGGGGAGCAGAGCCTGGTGTCTCTGCTCCAGCGAGCAGAGCTGTCGAGACTGAGCTCACTTCCTCTTCCTCCCAGCATCCTATTCTGTTTACTCCTCCCACCTATGTTTTAACCTATCAGGGCCAAGGAGTTTCTTTATTGCTTAACCAATGAAATCAACAGATTGATATATGACACTCCCACATCAATACGTAAATAAAGAAATCTTGAAAAAAGAAGAAAAAAATTGATAGAGGGACTAGAGAGATGCTCAGTGGTTAAGAGCACTGGCTGCCCTTCAGAGGTCCTGAGTTCAAAACCTAGCACCATGTGGTAGTTCAAAACTACCTTTAAGCTCCAGTTCTAGAGGAGTCCACTGCCCTCTTCTTGCCTTTGGGTACAGTGCTCTCATGGATACTCACTTCCCCACAGACACACATCGTTAAAAATAAACTAAAATCCTTTCAAGAAAAGAAAGAAAATTAAAAGAATAGGCGGTATCTAAAACAACGGACCACATAATGAAATTAATTAACTAATTTGTGAATGTTTATGTGCTTTTCTTTATGTGCAGAGGTCAGAGCACAGAGTATAAGAATTCTGTCTGTCTACTACGTGGGGCCTGGGGATCAAACGTGGGTCTCCAGGCTTGGCTGCCAGCACCTTTGCCTGCTGAGCCCCCTCAGCCATGCTGTGCCGTTGTTAACACAGGGATAGTGTAGTACACAGGAAGGCAAAGGTGCCTAGTAGTCTGAGTGAGTATTCCCACCAGCTCAGGGGCAGGAAGGCCAACACAGTTAATGCTTGCTATGAAGGCTGGCTACATGTAGACAATACTCTTTTTATATGGATTTTCAAGTAAAACTGTTAAAATTACAATGTATCATGTGTAAGGCCTAAGCATGTGTGGCTCTCTCCCTTCCCAAGATGTCGACCTGGTCATTTCTAGGAATTTCCCAAGGCTCCCCATTTACAGTAAAAGACACATCTTCATCTCCTAGTCCTACCTTTGTGGCTCATGATTCAACAATTTCACATTGTAATTCTATCTAAGGCCAAGCTATGCTAGCATCTCCTTTATCAAAAACTGGAACAAAAAGAAGCTAAAGCGAAGGAGTTTTTTAGAAAATCTTTGAAAATGTGAAGACTCCCAAAAATTCCTGTTCCAGCCAAGGCACCAAGAGCAACCTCTCTTGAGAAGCCACACCCACCCACAAGCTTGGGCTGTGTTGTTTCTTTGAGCATCTCTTTCTGAACTCCCTTGCTTAGATCCATGTTAAAATCTCTTCCTGATAAGCTCCATGTCTGCTTTGCACAGTCAGGTGCCCAGATTCTTTTCTGAGGTACAGCCAGGAACCCGATCTTTTTCCGAGGAGGGGCCTGTGAAAAGCAAACCTCAGGCTGCTACCAGAGGCAGCACGGACTTGTGTTTGTGGCCCACACTGACGTCCTGTGACAGCGAATGTCTAATTTCAGGCAAGCCGTCGATAAGCACGTTTATAAGGTCAGCCCTGCTGGTGGAAGATAGGAATCTTCTGAAGGCCTAGGACTTGATTTTTGTTATCCCATTCTCTTGAGACAAGTATGTTCGTTCATTCTGCAAGTGAGCAAAGAGATTACGTGGGTTGGGAGCTTGCTCCGGTTCTGCAGTCTGCAAGCAGTGAAAGCGGAGATGTCCCTCACCTGGGCCAATGCCCTGTTTTCCTTTCTTATCCACCATGTTGTGTCTCATGGTATGGACTCAGAGAACTAAGTTGAGGACTTCCTCATGTATCGTACAGACAGTGCTAGCTACTTCTCCCATTATCATGATGAAATGTCCAACAGAAGCAGCTTGAGAAGAGAGATTCGTTTTGACTTGGGCTGGCGAAGGCATGGTGGCTGCAGAAACTCTGTTCATGGCAGCGGGGGCATGAAGCAGCGAGTCACATGGTGGTAGATGGGAAGCAGAGAGGGCTTGGGCTGAAAGCAGGCTCAGCTGTCGCCTTTAAAGGTCCCTGGTACCTCTCCTCTGTCAGCCATACTTCCCACGCCAGGAGTTCCACTATCACTGTAAACGGCCCCACCAGCTGGAAACGAAGCGTTGAAATACATTAACCCACGGGGGTACATTTCACACTTGACATGACAACACATGTACACACGCATATAAATGCACATACACGCACATGCACTTGATTTTCTTGGTCTTATTTGATCAGTGAGTATCTTTATAAAAATCTGAATTATGGGCCAGTAAGATGGCTTGGCGGGTAATGGCTCCCTGTAAACCAGAAGACCTGGGTTCGATCCTAGGATCCACACAGTGGACAAGAGACCTAAGTCCCACAATTTACCTTCCTTCCTTCATGAGGGCATGGTAGCACATGTGCCTGCAAACACACACACACACACAAACTTATACACACAAAGAAATGGAATAAAATGTGTAAAAACTGAGTTACAAAGAGCCAATAATTAAATCCATCTCTGACGTCATCATCTTCTTTTACCCTTGTGGGGTCAACTGTAATTATTACATCAGGTTTTTTTTTTTCCTTCTGGTACTTTCTGAGAGTCCTTCCATTCAAAAGACCCTTGCCCACTAATTGATCATAGCTATTCAGGAGTGACTGCTAGAATTTAACTTAGGGGTTCTTGGGGGAGCTGGTGTGTTTGAGAAACTTTACAGCCATAGGCATTGTAATTCTATCCCTGCTTTCTGTGGTGGCTATGCTTCCAAGCCCCCCCCCCTTTCTCCACTCACTGAAGATGTAGAGAACAGAATGAAGGAGTTAGGAGTGGAAATAGCTGTGGTCATTATCTCACCTCCTCTTCATGCTACAGTGAGTAAATTAACTCAGAGAGGAGCTAATGTAGCCGAAACCAGAGAGGCGGCTGCTGGAGACATTAGCAGAATCAGAAGAGGGATTAATGCACACAAGATTCAGAGCTGGAGTAGATGTCTGTCCTTATTGGAAGCCTACAATTCATTTCCCCATCTTTTGATTACAGAGCCCCCTTTTTTACTGCCCCTCTCCCTATTTGGGTCTGAAAGGATCCAATTCCATCTCCAGCCCGACAGAGGAGTACATGGCACAAGTTAGAGGGGTTCAGGGGTCACCCTACCCATGGCCATGAGAGTCTATCCTAGGATTCCATTTGTAAGGACAGAACGAGTCTGATTCTTGCGAGTCCTGGTTAGCTTAAACTATCAACTTGACACGGTCTAGAGTCATCTGAGAGGACCTGCCTAAGTTAGCTTGGCTTGTGGGCATGTGTAGCACTATTCCCTGGACAAGTGGCCCTGGACTGTGTAGGAGAGTTGAGGGTAAGCCGGTCTGTGAGGGTAAGCTGGTTGCCAATGTGATTCTTTGGCTGTGAAGTGAGTTCCTTGGTCCTTTACAGAGGTAGTGCTGTGTGGAATAGCAAGCAAGCCCTCCTGTAAGTCCCTGCTCGAATTCCTGTCTTGACGGATGGTAGGTGAAATAAACACTTTTGTCCCCAGAGTTGCTATTGGTCAGAATTTCTTATCTTAATGGCGGAGACCAACCTAGGACAGCATGTCAGGCAACTTGTCAGCTGAAAGAGGGCAGATGGGAAAGTGCAAGAGATTGGTACCTTCACAGAAGAATTCACTATTCAAGATAGCAGTTGACTAATCTTCAAAACATAGAAGCTGTGGATGGAGCTGTGTCTGTTATGTAGCTTCTGGGGACTGAACTCAGGAGGCCAGGCTTAGGGAGCAAGCATGTGTACCCTCTGCGCTGTCTCGCTAGGTCTGTTACTAGTTATTGCTCTGATTTCTGTGGCAAAACGCTTGGCAGAAGCAGCTTGAGGAAGGAAGGGTTTACTGTGGCTCCCAGGTTGAAGGCAGAGTCCATCACGGTGGGGAAGGCCTGGAGCTCGAGGCCGCGGGTCCTACTGTATCTAACATCAGGAAGCAGAGAGAGAGAGAAATGTTGCTGCTTGGTTACTTTCACCATTTTGCTCAGTTTCAGACCCCAACCCATGGGATGATATTACCCACTTTCAGGATGAACCAGCCGTCCTCAGACTCTCTGGAAGTGCACTCACATACACACCAGAGGTGTGTCTCCTACGTGGTTCAAACCCAGTCACGTTGACAGTGGAAATGAACCATTATGATCACACTTACCTCCCCCGCCGTCATTGGTGTGCATTATTTAAGGAAATGATAGTCAAATAGGACATGGTCCTTGGGTACGAGAACCTGCCACCCAAGGCAGTCTATGTCACAGGGCCACAGACAGAAATAGCAAACGGAATCATCCAAGTTGATTTTACAAAGGACAGAACCAAGTCCTGGGTCCCAGAGCTCCAAGGCAGGGGGGAGGGGTTTGTAGGCTGAGTGAGACAGATGGTGGCCAAAACTAGGTGGAATGTGCTTAGCCTTTCTAAAAAACTTAACGTTTTCAAGGTCCATTAGCAAATAGTCCAGTCATCAGTGGCTAGCACAATATCCTTGGCTGAGGGCTTAGCAACATGGACCTATATAGTGTGTGACACGCACCAGGATCATGTGCCAGGCAAGATGAAGATTTTGGTCAAGATGGCAGCAGTCATATCAAGTTAGACTGTTCCATACACATAGCTTGTAGTCTCTCTCTCTCTCTCTCTCTCTCTCTCTCTCTCTCTCTCTCTCTCTCTCTCTGTATTTTCACTTAGTAGCTGAAAGAGTTACCATTATTGTCAACCTGACAGAATCTAGAGTCACCTAGGAGACACACCTCTGGGCATTTCTGTGAGGGAATTTCTAGACTGGGTAATTAAGGTGGAAGAACACTCCCTAACTATGGGTTGGGGCCCCCAAACAAGCTAATGGGAAAGTGAACTAAGCACCGGTGTTCCTCTTTCTTTTTCTGACTGTAGGTGCCTTGTAACCAGTTACCTCAAGCTCCTCCCACCATGCCTTCCCCGCCATCATGGACTGTAACTTCAAACTGCAAACCAAAAGAAACCCTTCCTTCTTGGAGTGGCTGTTGTCAAGGATTTTGTCACAGCAATCAGAAAGGGCAAAGGAGGAAGCCAGATGAGTGACAACATCCCTCTTTCTCTGCCTCCTGACGGTGGACCAATGTGACCACATCCCCTGCTGTCTCATGTACTGGAAAAAGAAGAGAAATCTGCTTGGGCAATCATTTACTTCCTACACATCTTGTCTGTCACTACCCTGTCAAACAGTGCCTTGTATGTGTGAGCTGAAACTCGAAGGAGAAAAGTGCCACCTGTGTTACAGGTGCTACCAGGGTGGATGGCTGGGTAGAAATATCATTGTGGAGAGTTGAAGGGCTGGTTTGAAATGTTCCAGAACAATCTGTCTTGCCAACTTTAGGGTCCTTAATAGTCACTCATTCTCCGCCTCTGCATCAGATCTAACACCTTCATGATTGTCACGTGAAACCCTTTTGGGGCAGGTGAATTTAACGATCACTAGCGTCCATCAATCCCAAAGCTAAGAATGCCATCTGATGGCCTCTGAGGCCTAGAGTAGAGTTTCCTCACTTCTCTGCTAGCTACTTGCCTGATGGTTCTACCACCATTATTAAAGAGTGCCTTGATGGGCTGGAGAGATGGCTCAGTGGTTAAGAGCATTGCCTGCTCTTCCAAAGGTCCTGAGTTCAATTACCGGCAACCACATGGTGGCTCACAACCATCTGTAAAGAGGTCTGGCGCCCTCTTCTGGCCTTCAGGCATACAGACAGAATATTGTATACATAATAAATAAATAAATAAAAAAAAGAGTGCCTTGATTCTGGGGGCTGGAGGGGGAGCTCAGTGATTGAGAGTACTGACTGCTCTTCCAGAGGACCGAGGTTCGATTCCCAGGACCTATATGGCAGCTAACAACTGTCTGTAACTCCAAGATCTGACACCCTCACCCAGAGATACATGCAGGCAAAATACTAATGTACATAAAATAAAAACAAATAAGTTATTTTTTTTAAAAAAAAATGCCTTGATTAATGACTCTCTTGTTCTTCAACTGTAAAAACTGTAACAATCTTCGAGAAGCTCACCACCTTAGAGTGGGGTGTATGGGTTAATCTGTTTCCTTGGGCTATGATCACTCGATTCAGCTCTGGAATGAGGAATCCCTTATTCCCCTGAGATCAGGGTTGTTTCTGTATTGACGTGTGGAACCCACCACCCCCTCTTACCTGCTGAACCTTTCTGCTTTTGTTTTCTATGTACTTATCATTGTCTAGTAACTAGTACTGTTTTGTTGGTTGTTTGAGGATGCATGAGGGGAGGGATTTTGTAGATGAGCTCCTTCCTGTGTATCTGGAGCACAGAGAGCAGAGCTTTACAAATCATAGCCCTGACCTGAGTAGTGGCAAAAGCTTGTAAAGCCTTTAATCCTAGTATTCAACACACAGAGAAAGGCAGAGTTCTGTGAATTAGAAGCTGGTCTGGTCTACACAGTGGGCTCCAGGCTGGATAAGGTTACAATACTAAGACCTTGTCTCAAAAACAAACAAACCCACCAAAACCAACCAATCAACCAAACAACAACAAAAATCAAGCTGTAGCCTCTTAAAACAAATGTTTGCTGAATATAGCATTAGTGTTCATAAAGAAGGCACAGTTCTCCAAGTGGGACTTGTGGGATCTGCATCCTGAAGCAAGACTTGCAGATAAGGCTATGGTCGGACAATCTTGAAGTCTCTTCTTCAAAACAGATTAATAAGGACCCCCTGGTATCACTCATGATGGATGATACATGCTTGTATTCCCAACACTTTTGGGAGGTTGAGGCAGGAGGATGGTGTTCTAAAGGCCAGGCTGGGTCACACATAGACCCTGTCACAAAACAAAATCAAAAAATCCATTAAAAACAGCAATGACAAACAAAGCAAGATAGTTGGGATATTGATTGATTTTCGAATGATTGAAAAATCCAAAATGAAATCAAAGATTCAGATATTGTACATTAGGGGTGCCCAAAGCGAGCTGGTGGATGTATGAACTTTAGTTGCTCTGAACATGTAGCACCTGTGCTAGCCAGTCTAAGGTGCTGACTGATCACTCCACAGGCTTAGTACAAAGAGTTAGGTCATGAGGATTTTACTGAACAATAGAAGAGACAGTCATGAGCCTGGTTGGCTGTGCTGATTGCCAGGAAACATCCATCTATTTGTCACACAACAGCACTATGCTTGGTCCTGACACTGGCTCTGGGGAATGAGATTGCTGAGTAGGGAATGAAGAATAGGGTAAAATATAAGACTCAAAGGTGATTCTGAATAGTCTCCACGAATATAGTCTGGGTTGGAAGGGCTTATTCTGCAGGACTCTGGGAAACTTAAGTGACTTCACCACTGACCCCTGGAGGGATGCGAAGGGAGTAAGGATGGGGCATGCCGCATCCAAGCATCTTAGGCTGCAGGGATGTTAGTGGAGATGATTTTTGAAGCCGAATCCAAGCCACAGGTGGTGGTTCACGCTTGTAATCCTAATACCTTAGGAGCCTGAGGCAGGAGGATTGCAAAGAGTTCATTGTCAGCCTGGGGCATATAGCGAGACTCTGTGTCAACTGTTCCTTTAAACAACAACAACAACTCCCTGCCCCCCAAACCCTGCAGTCTACCTCAGGTTCTGGCTATGCCGGTTTCTACCTCCACACCCCGAAGCATTACCTGTAATCATATTTTATTATTTATAAGTTTTTTGAAATAGGAATAATTTGGGACCCACAGTAACAGGAAGTAAGAGCAGAAAAGCCTCCAAATAGGAGACACAGGACAAGATGGAGCTAATCTTCAAACGGACCATTTCCTTCAATGCCCTGCCAATCCTGGCCCCTCTGTGACAACCTGTAGGCTTCTCCAGGTGGCAGAAGATCCAAAAGAGAAAGCAGGCAGGGACACCTGGAGATGGAGGGAGAAAAGATGAGGACAGCAGACATCAGAGGTGTTGTTGAGGATAGTGACCTCCCTGAGCCAGTGAGTGCAAGGACAAACTGAGCATGTTATTGGTTGCCAAGATCTCCCTGGACTGAAGGCTGAGTTCTTCTTCACAGCGGTACCTAGCTTGCTAATGCTAACTCAGTGATGGTCACTAGCTCTGTTTAAGTATGGGAAGACTTGAGAAACATCTCTTTCCTCAAAGACTAAAGCTAACAGAAGCCCACAGGGTTGAAGAGATGGCTCAGTGGTTAAGAGCACTGACTGTTCTTCTAGAGACCCTGGGTTTGATTCCAAGTACCCATGCCGTAGCTCACAGCTACCTGTAACTCCAGTTTCAGGGAATGCAGTGCCCTCTTCTGACCTTGTAGGCATCAGGTATGCATGTGGTACATAGACACACATTAATTACAGTAAAAAGTGCACCAAGGGTGAGCGACAACTGAGCAGGTTTAATATTGAATAAACACTTGCTGTTATTTTACATAATACTTCCTTCACTTCTCATCCCAAACATCATGGTTCTTCTTATTTTGTGTGTGTGTGTGTGTGTGTGTGTGTGTGTGTGTGTGTGTATACATGCATATGGAGACCAGAGAACAACCTTGAGTATTGCTTCTCAGGTGCTATTTACCTTTACTTTTTTGAGACAGGATCTCTCATTGGCTGGAACTCACTAACTAGGCTTGACTGGCTGACCAGTGAGTTCTAGGGATCTGTCTGTCTCTGGGTCCCCAGCATTGGGATTACAAACAGGAGGCCCTAATGCCCAGTTTATTTCATGTGGACTCTGGGGGTGGAACTTATGTCCTGGGGTTTCCAAGGCAATCACTTTAACAACATACACCCCCCTTCCCCTAGCTCCCTTCCCCTTTCCCCTTTCTTTCTCTTCCTGCTCCTCCCAACACCCTTTTTATTAGACAGCATCTCCTTACACAGCCCAGGCTGGCCTTGCACTGGCAATTCTGCTGCTGTTCCTTCCCAACGCTGGGATTGCAGGTCTATACTACTGTACTGGACAAAATGATAAATCTTTTCTTTTCTTCTCAGGCTTTTTCTATGTAGCTTTGGAGCCTGTCCTGGAACTCTGTAGACTGGGCTGGCCTTGAACTCACGGAGATCTGTCTGCCTCTGCCTCCCAAGTGCTGGGATTGGAGATGTGCACCACCCACCGCCCGGCCAAAATGCTAATTTCTAATGCCTACTTTGTAATGGAGGAAGCTGAGGCCTGAGATGCGGATGACTGTAAGTCATCACACCAGAAAAAAGGGCACTAGCTTCCCCAGCCCACTCAGGGATGGAGAGGTTTCACTATACCTGCCTTCCATGGTATATTTGGGCTTAAATGATGACCACTCAGAGACACAAAATCCTATCTTAAAACATTGTTCTGAGTTTTCTAATTAACAGAATGTTTTTTAGCAGGCTTTCTCTCTGCATCTGGCTTTCGGCTTTTCATTTCTAGTGACTGGTTTATTTTCTCTTATTGCAGATTCTGTTGTCTTTGGATTTATCAGTATCTCTGGATGGGAGGAGCTAGCTCACTGAGATAACTGGTACTGATACAGCTCAAAGGTCTTCACAGACAAAGTATTCTTAAGGAAAAAAATGTGCTAACTCTGGTGGTACATTGGATAGCTGTTCAGTTTTGTTAGGTTCTTTATTTTCTGAACATGTGGAAATAGAAAATAATGGTCATCTTTGATCTCCAGCGTGGAAAACATGTTTGGCCAATAGACAATAATATACGGCCAAAGACACATCTATCATTTGAGCTGGAACATGAAGAAACTGGAGCGTGGATTGCAAAATGTAAGTTCCCTATGTCTTTGTGAGTAGAAATGACTCAAGGCACAGAGACAATGCTCATTCTTCTCTGGTCAGTTTGCAGATGCTGAGCCTCCATCTCAGCATCCCATGCAAACAGTTTCTTCTTTTTCCTGAAGCTGGACTCCTAGTATAATACACAGACCTCTGGATAATCCAATGGAATCGTGAATTCTATTTGTATCTTTGCTGTGTACCAGCTGAATGAAGCTGGGGACCTCTGCAAGCCTCCAGTAACTCAGTATTCAAATGAATAAGAATGAAGACGACATAACAATAAAACTGTGGGCCCCACCCTCCTAGAAACGTTGGGCGAATCAAAGAAAACCATACCAATGCTAGTACTCCACGAGTCTATGCGGTCATTGTATAGATATAACGTTAAGTGGCAAGTTCAGCTTGACACATAGCATGAAGACAGTTTTCACTTTCTTCAAACAAGGGGTTTGTATCTCTGAAAACTTAGAAGATGGTCTTAATTCACTTGTTCTTTGACCATCTCAGGCTTGGCAGAACTAGCATGTGACGGGTGTTATTTGTGGGGTGGGGGTTGAGGGGATATGGTGGGACAGGATCTTGCCTTGTAGCCCCATCTGGCCTAGAACTCATGATCTTTTGCCTTAGCCCCCTGGGTGTTGGTCTTATAGTTTGGTGTCACAGGGGCATATCCCTTTTCACCACAGGGCATGATCTTCATCAGGTCTTTTTGTACCTGGCCTTTAGTTTTTATCACGATACACTGCCTTAGAATACATTCATTTTTACGGAGATAGCCCCTCTACTTATTTTTTGTTTGCTTGTGGGTTTGTTCATGATTTTGTGTGCAGGTGCCCTTCAAGGCCAGAGGGGTCGCATCCTCTGCAGCTGGAGTGACAGTCAGTTGTGAACCACTGACCTGGATGCTGAGCAATGAACTCAGGTCCTCAGAAAGAGGTGTGAGTACTCCAAACCACTGAGCCACCTCTCCAGCCCCCCTCACCCCAGAGGACAATTTCTAGAAGTTCAAGGAGCCTAACCTTCTTATGGAAAACATTCACTTGAGAATACTAAGCCAGTAGTCTACTTCTGGCCTGTCCATTACTGTCTAAGAGTTTCTTTCCTTTCTTTAGACAAGCTCTAGACATATCCTAGGCTGCTTCCAAACTTCTGGGCTCAACGAT